ACATGCAAAAGGATGCTGAAGCCTACGTGAAGAAGTGTCAACAATGCCAAAAGTTTGCACCTTTGATACATCAGCCAGCTGCTGACCTAAACCCAGTGTCCAGCCCTTGGCCGTTTGCCCAATGGGGCATGGATCTGGTTGGAAAACTTCCCCAGGAAACCGTGCAGAGAAAATACTTGCTGGTGGCAACAGATTACTTTACAAAATGGATAGAGGCAGAACCTCTTACCAAAAATCCGAGATGTGGAGGTCAAGAACTTTATATAGAGAAACATCATCACCAGATTTGGGATTCCAAGAGCAATAGTTGCCGACAACGAAACACAGTTTGACAGCAAACTCATCAAGAACTTTTGTGCGAAATTCAAGATCAAGAATTACTTTTCAACACCAAGTTTTTCCCAAAGTAATGGACAAGAAGAAGCATCCAACAAAGTAATCTTGGATGGAATAAAGAAGAAGTTGCAGGCAGCAAAAGGAAAGTGGGTAGACGAATTGCCCAACGTACTTTGGACATATCGGACTACGCCGAGGAGATCAACAGGGGAATCCCCCTTTGCCATGGCTTATGACACAGAAGCAGTCATCCCATTGGAGATCAGCATCCCAGGGATCAGAACCCAGGGAGTAGAGAATGGCACCAATGATATAATCTTAGCCCAAAATCTGGATCTTTTGGAAGAACGAAGAGAGAAAGCTACAATTCAGCTCGCAGTATACCAGCAACAGCTTGCTAGAGCTTACAACAAGAAAGTCAATCCAAGAGATTTTCAAATCAGCGACCTAGTCCTAAGAAAAGTCGTCGGCAACAAGAAAGATCCCAGAGAGGGCAAGCTTGGCCCAAACTGGGAAGGACCCTACAGAATTATTTCGGTATTAGGCAATGGAGCTTATCTGCTTGAAGATAACAAGGGCAAAGCACTGCCAAGACCTTGGAATACTTGTAATTTGAAATTCTTCTATCAGTAGATGTGCAGAATTTTTGGCCGATGTCATCAATAAAATCTTTTTCCTTTTTCTTTAAAACACATATGATTGATAAAATTACATATTGGTGTTTTTTGAGACATGAATAATAAGAACCCAAGTAGAACTCAGGTTCACATTGGGGGCAAAGAGAAGACAAAGATTATTCCTTAATTCACTTATTGAAATTTGTAGCAATTTACAAGTTGGAATTAAGCCGATTCCTTATCTTCACTTGTTGAAATTTGTAGCAATTTACAAGTCGAAGTTAAGCCAAGATTATTCCTTAATTCACTTGTTGAAATTTGTAGCAATTTATAAGTTGGAATTAAGCTAATTCCTTATCTTCACTTGTTGAAATTTGTAGCAATTTACAAGTCGAAGTTAAGCCGAGATTATTCCTTAATTCACTTGTTGAAATTTGTAGCAATTTATAAGATAATGTTGAGCCGACATGTGATCATCTGTTGAAATTTGCAGCAATTTACAGGTTGAGGTAAAAGCTAAGTATATTGTTTAAACACTTGTTGAAATTTGTAGCAATTTACAAGTAGAATAGACCGAGATCACTGTTTGCAAAGTACTTGTTAAAAATACTTGTTAAAACTTAAGAAAAGTTTGCAAAGTTGACATTTAATAGTATATGTTTTACACTTGTTGAAACTTATGAAAAGATTGCAGATCAGTATCTTCTCGAAGTAAAGCTTGTAGTTATTACACCCGAGATATGTAACCTCGAAAAGATTGCACAAGCAAGAAAAGAAGTATGTAAATCATGCAAAATATTCTAAGTATAGAAACCACGCAGAAGCAATCAAAGAAAAGACAAAGATTCAAGCGTTAAGAAAAGGAAAGCTGAGTTAACATTTACAAAATTGGGAGGCACGTCGGCCACGCAAAAGCTTACGTTGTTCAGAAAAAGATAAAGGAAAAAACAAAATACAAGTAAGTAAAAGAAGAACATAAAGCTAAGGGTCTTCTCCTCCAGATTGTTGGATTTGGAGATCAGATACAACCTTGGCCTCCTTCTCTGCTGCTATTTCGGCGTCAATTTCCTGAAGAGTTTGTTCGACAGTCTTAACCTCGGAAGGGATGTCGGCTGGAACAGTGTCAGGAACAGCTTCAGGGATAACCTCATCACCTTCTTCATCTTGAGTCAAGTCAAGGACTTGCTCATTCTGAGGAGGGGACTTAGCCCCATCAGCATCCTTTGGTTTTCTGACCAAAGCTTCATCCTCTTCCTCATCGGCATCCTCAGACTCAGATTCAGATTCTCCTCCAGGTTGACTTGATGGAGGAGGAGGGGGGAACGGCAGAGGAATAGCATCGGCATTGCGGAAGGGTGAGTCTGCAGGAAGATCAAGTTTCTTTATCAGGGACATCCAACCAAGGGAAAAGCCCCTATTGCATGCCTGCCTGACTTGAAGTTTGTACTCCTCAGTAACGTCGGCCATACCCTGGGCGTAGGCCTTTTCGTCGGCCGCCTTGATTTCGGCATCTTTAGTAGATAAAGCATCTTGAAGTTCTTTTTTCGCCTGGGCCTTTTTGTCCTCAGCCTCTCTCTTCTCGGCTTCAGCAACCTTTCTAATAGCCTCGGCAGATTCAGCCTTTTCCTCGGCAAGGGTTTGGGCTTTGGTGGCAGCCTCAGCCTAGTCTTCCAATTTTTTCATCTTTAATTCAAGAGATTTGTTTTCCTTTTTAAGGGCAGAAACCTCTCTCCTCAGATCAACCAACTTTGTCCTGTTTTCAAAAGCTTGCATTGAAAACGAATGGGCATACTGAATGGCCTAAAAGAAAACATAAGTGCTAGAAAATATTTTAAGTATGAAACAGAAAGAAAGTAGAAAATTCCAAGCAGGAACACTTACTTGAATGGAGTGCTGGAGCATTAGAGCGTAATTCTCGTACTCACTGTACTCAGCATTTCGCTCGAGGTCACCCGGAAGAAGCAACGCCATGCTAAGTGCAACGCCGACATTTATGTCGTCGGCATTTTCACTGGACATAATTGGCCTGTCTTCCAAAGTAATTTTGGGAGCCCAAGGGACATCCGGTTTCTTGGACCCCGAGGTAGTAGCTGAGGCCGATCTTGGTTTTTTTGTCTGTGTGGATTCAGAGGGTGGGTTTTCAGCAGACCTTTTTGCAGAAGCAGAAGAAGTCTTCTTACTCTCAGCCAGTTTAGAGATGGGCAGAGCATCCTCAGCCTCAACCTCAGTAGCTTTGGCCTTGGGCTGAGCTTTTTTGATTCTTTTTGGCTTTGGTGGGGGCATGGTTTGCGTCGGTTGAACGTCAACATCCGTGGGAAGGTCAGCTAGGAGATCTTGGGCAACAGGCTTCGGGCGACCCATCTCAGCAGTTTTGACGAGTCGTCGCCGACGCTTTCTTTCTGGTATTGGGATTAAGAATGGGGCTGAAGTTGATGGTTGGTCAGCTGGATCCGAGGTTGACCCTTGGTCAGCCCGAGATGTTGATGCTGTTTGAAGAATGGTAGCAGAGGGAGGAGATAGGCTCTTCTTCTTTCTTTTTGAGACGTCGGGCAGTGTGGATTTGTATGTCGGAATAAAGTTCAGAAGGAGAGGTGCTTTTCTTTTGTGGACAGGCAAGTCCAGGAGCCTTTTCAGATCCTTGCTAAGAACGTAGGATTGGCGAAAGTCTTTCGGTAACTTACGAACGTCTACAAGAAGAAACAAACATTAGAAACAGATTAAATATTGAAGACTTGAAAAGAAACAACTAAGTAAAAAAACACTGGGCTCTTACCCTTGCCCTCTTTAACCGTTCGAGGAAGAGGGTATAGATGGACATCTTCGTCTGGGGAAAATTCCCAATTTCCAGAGACAATGAAGTAGTCATCTCCAGCCCCCTTGTTGGAGTCTGGGAGGTCGGCTACGATTTTGAATTCAGTAGACCTCGGCTTGAGGTAGTAGACGTAACCTTTTGCCTTCAGGCTAAGGGGGCACATGGTGTAACAATATTGTATGTCGGCTAGGGTGATTCTAACGTTTTCTTGTCTGGCTAAGGTGATGATACCAAAAATCACCCGATAGGAGTTTATAGCAAGTTGCATAGGGTTCAGCTTATAATAATGCAGAATCTCGCGAAAAAGATGTTAAGTGGAAGCCGAAGTCCACATTCAGTAAAGGCTACAATAGGGAGAGGCATGGTGTTTTCGGTAGGCATGATGGAGTCATCATCCCCAGCCAGTTTCAGGTGAACATCGACAGGGACGGAGAACTCCTGCCTAAAGTACTCAAGTTTGGACGGGGTGTCAACCCTATGTCTCCACATACCCATAACGTCGGCCTAAAGACAGAAAGCTAGGTTTCAGAAAGAAGGTGGTCGTAAGGGGTTATCGGGACCTCGGCAAAAACCTAGGAATATACTGGTAAGGGTTGTTTCAGTTTTCCCTAAAAATTGAAGGTTCTATAGATAATACCCAAAACTAAATCTATGGAGGCAAAGATTGAAAGCAAAAATTAAAGGCAGAAATCTGGAAAATAAGAAACAAAGAACGACGTTTCAGAAACAAAGAACAGAGGTATGGTTCTCAAAAGCGAAAGAAATACAGAAGTAAAACGTCAAGAACAATGGCAAGAAAAGTATTAAAAACAGTGCAAGTGTTCAAGATATGAGTAAAATCATGGAATAGATGCATCCAGATGAGTAGTTCAGCAAATCAAAGGTTTGAACAGCGCAATAAATGGCAGTAAGTAAACGAAAGCACATAAAAGAAATTGGGAATAAGAAGAACAGAGACTTACCAGAACAAATGAAGCCGGAATGAAATTCGCCGAAGTAAGGCAACGATTGCAGACAAAACGGAATAACGAAAGCTTCGTTGGAATGAAAGAATGAAGACAGTTGCAGGGCTTGGAGCTAGAGCAATGGCGGGTTTGAGAAAGTTTAGAGGGAGAGAGAGCCAGAAAATTGAATGCAAAAGTAAAGAAATGAAGATGGAAAGGAAAGTTTTATCAAAAACTTGAAACGGCGGCAAAACAGGGCATTTATTGCGCCTGGAGGAACGAATGCGTCAGATGGCGCAGACAGGTGAAAAGACGGTTTACAAGCGCGTCACAGACACGAGCCAATAAAGATAAAACACGTAAGGGGAACGGTTGAGAAGAAATGCGTGACAGCTCATGCGCGTGAGGGAATTTGTTTAAGTTCTTGTTCTCCGAAGAGAACACGTCGGCCGGAAAATGAATGATCTCGGCTAAACATTTTTTTTGAGCCAATATGCAGAAAGAAATATCGATATAGGTTCCATCACCTCAGAATGTCGAGGTAATAGAACATAGGAGGCAGTTGTGGGGATATATTTTCTGAGTACCAACATGTAGCAAGGTGATGCCGACGTGTCAGCCGAGGTGCCACGTGTCTTGGTCGTTGTGACGAGGTCATCTCAGCTAGGCCGAGGTTGCCTCTAAAGATATCGGAATCCGAGATAAGCGGATAAGGGACAAGAGTCCTAGAATGAAGAGGGAACTCAACTTGGATATGGACAAGAGTCCTAGAGAAAAGAGAAGACTTCTGCTAAGATAAGGATAAAGCTCTTAGGGAGTTTATCTTTATCTCTTGAGGAATCCAAAGTAAGTACTAAATTGAAGTCCATAGAAGTCAGGCTTCTAGTAGGACTTGGATTAAATAAACTATAAAAGAGACGCACCCCTGTGGGTCTAAGGTACGCAGTTTTATACTCAAGCTTGTGAGTTTAGCACTTGATTATCTTTGAGAGATATACTGACTTGATCGTCGGAGTGCCCCCGGGTGGAAGAGCCACCGCCGGAGCCTTTTCTTTCTGTCGCAGGTTCACTGAAGCCATCTATTTTGCCGATGCTCTCCAGCTGATTACTAGGTGGGCAGTGTGGTCAGAAAATCACCCACACACTTTACTTGGCAAACAATTTCTTCACTAGTCCCATACCCGATTCGCTGTCAAATGCTTCGCAAATTTCAAGGATTGACATTCCTTACAATAATTTCACAGGCAGTGTACCTATGAGTTTTGGGAATTTACAGAGTTTGTGGTGGTTCAATGTTCTTGACAATGATCTCGGAAGCGGTAGACCGGATGATCTGAGTTTCATAACTTCTCTGACCAATTGCAGCCAGATAGAATTCCTGGACATTGCTGACAATCGTTTCGGAGGCGTGTTGCCGAGCTCGATCGCCAATCTGTCAACCCAATTGACGAAGTTACTTGTCTGTGGAAACAAAATTCATGGAACTATACCTGTAGTTATTGCCAACCTCTTCAACTTGGACACACTCAGTATGGGGGAAAACTTTCTTACAGGTAAAAAAAAGATTTCGTTCGAATCAAATAGATCTTACACAAATTTTATGATGAATTTTTTATTAATTGACCCTTATAACAAATTAATTGTCTATTTTTTAACAAAGACATAAATTCAGACTTAATTATTTAGAATTATTATTTTGTAATTTAGATTTATTCTGCACATAGATTCCACCATATATAAATTTAATCTCTACCACATAACCACTCAATCAAAAAATTATCCCAGACTTTTCCTTTAAAAAAAATTATAGATTAATGGTAAACATTACAAATGGTAAACATTACAAATATTAAAATATAAAATTATAAACTACTCCATCAAACAATAACTAATTTTTGCAATTACACTGATAAGTTTTTTTTTTTTTTTTAAATGCCATTTCATAAAAAATAAAAGAAACTAATTAAAATAATAACTATTTTAAACTGAGAAAATTAGTCTAAGGTTCCTCTTCCATTTTTAGTAATGGAAGAGATTCATAATATTATTTTTTGATGTCTAAGATCCCTAAACACACACCCATATATTAGATCAGAGAAATTTGACTCTCTCTTTCTCTTTCTGATCTTCATTCTATCCAAACCAAACCCTCTCTCTTTGTGCACATTTCGATCTTCACCTTCGCCTCTGTATTTACCACGCCATCGCCGGAATGCTGCGATCTAAGCTGAACAACTGCGATCTGAGCTGCGAGGGTTCGTGAATATTTCACTTTTTACTACTTCACCGATGAGTCAGTTCGAGGTGACTTCGAACTCCAGTTGTGGTGAACAGAGCTCGGAAATGAAGGCCATGGTGATAAGAAAGACGAGCCATGGTGGCCAAAGATGCAAACATGAGATGATGTCATCAAAACATGCACCATTGTTATATAGGTGGCTTCCACATAGTAGTTTTGTAAGCTTTCCTGACTACATTAAGGAATATTATAGTCTTTGGAGTTTCAGAAGGAAAAATGATCAAGTGTCTTCAATTAAATTCCGTGTCTTCAATGTAATAAATATGCTATGAATGAATTACACACAATTTACAGTTGCTTTCAATTCATGAATTTCTTACTCTCAAAATAATTTTGTTATATTCTTTTTCAAATTAGAACAAATGATCATATTTCATCAAAGAAAATACTTAATTCTGATTCTGCACAAGGTCGTTTTGAAAATATACAAAATACGCACAGAGCTGGGGACATGGATTTAGCAAAGAAGGTGTTTGATGAAATGCCAAGGAGATAATGTCTAAGGTCCTTCAAATCAATTTAGAAAAATTTCAATCTAAACCAGAGAATTTCTCTGGACCAAACCAGAGAAAATTCAGTCCAAATCAGAGAATTTCTTTGGACTAACCCAATTTTCTCTGTAGCAGAGCACTAGTCCTTATTGTTGTCTAGAGAAATTTAGAATTTTCTCAGTGATATGTCCAGAGAAATTCTCTAGATCGAATTTTCTCTGAATCGAATTTTCTCTGGATTGATGTTGAGGGATCTTAAATATTATGAAAATATTGAGTGTCCTTTATGTTATAAAATTTTAAATCCAGAGACCTTAAAAAAAAATTCCCAAACTTGACCGCATCGAATCATATTTTATTTTTATTTTTCACTTTTTTGCTCAACATTTTATAAAAAATAAAAAAAATAAAAAATAAAAAACTAATTAAAATAACAATTATTTTAAACTTAACAGCATCAAATCATATAACCATTTAACTAATCAAGACCGTCTATTCTCACAAAAACATGTACTTGACCACAGAGGATGAAACCCTCTGATAATCCGATCCCGCGTCTTCTTCCTTCCTCCCGCTTCCCCTTCCACTGCGCAACTCTGCGTCCCTCTCTTCCTCACTGTGCGGGGGTGATTTCCGCACAATGAAGAAGGGTTGAACTTCGTGGATGAACAGCAGGCTTTGGGAATTGAAGATCTGCACAGAATAACAAACGGTGAGGCTGCCCGACCGGGGTTTGGTCGGAAACCCCTCCGATGGTAAAGTCAAGGACTTAGGGAGAGGAAAAAGAGAGAGGAGAGAATACAGAGTGTATATGTGTTAAGTGTATGGATCCTCCTTCGAGAGTGAATAGTGTTCACCTTTTATAGGAGAAAGTTGTTTGTCGTTCAAGTCCTTCTCTCTCCGCTACCTGTCCAATGTGTCTTATTCGTGGTCGTCTCCCATTGGAGGAGGACGACCACTCCGCCTGACACTCGGGTGCAGGTCTGTTTTGTTTGTCTCATTAGCGGACATCTCTCATTGGAGGAGGACGACCATTCCGCTTACCATTCGGATGCAGGTTTGTCATATACGCACCTTGTCCCTCTGCACCTCCACGTTTCCACGTTCTGTTCATACAGAGGGAGAGGAGCAGAGTTATTTGTCTCTTGTGGGCCCAAGAAAGATCTTCAGTGAATTGGCCTCCTCTAAGTTGGTCTGCTCTAGAACGGTTGTCCAACTAGGAGGTCCAATATGTTGCTCGGCCCACTTCGGAGTGGTTCTGTCCATCCAGAAGGTCCACCATGTTGCTCGGCCCACTTTGGAGTGACGCTCGTACATTGGGCCGAACTCTTATGATTGTCTTACTTCGGAGCAAGTGTTGGCCATAGGGCTGAGGTGTCCGACCTAGCTCCACTTTGGAGTGAGTATCGCATTGGGTCTAGGACCAAGACTTGATTAATTTTTACTCACTTCACTCACCTCCTCTGCTTGAAACTTCAAACATCACCGCCAACGAAACCCTAGCTCCATATTCTTGATCTCACAACGGACCCTACTTCCACCCCCAGTTGGTACTCAGCAGAGGTGAATTTTGAGGGAGCCTTGTAGGTGGTGATCATGGATTATGTCCTCAAATTTCTCCTCTACATCTATAACTTCAAACATTATCTCTGGCCAGCCTGTATGAATTCTCTTATTATTTTCTAATCAAGTCCTAATTTTATTCAATATATACATGTATGTGTGTGTGTGTGAATGGGGATTGGGTGTGTGGGTTAATGGGGAATGGGGATTAGGGTTGGGGGAAAGGGGGTTGCTGGGATTGGGGATGGAGATTGCTGTGAATGGCAATTGGCAATGGCTTTTCTTTTCTTTTCTTTAGTTTTTAGGTGAATTGCTAATACACTTTATTTTATTTTAAGTTTGTTTAAAATATAAATTGTCTCTTATAATTTAAAAAATTATAAATATTTCCTTATTAAAAATTTTTATTTAATAGAATTAACTTAAAGAAATGAAATTCATAATTACCCTCCTATACAATAATAAAGTTATCTAAATTATTAATTGAAACATATTTTTAATATCATTAAAAACCGTTAATTGACTTAATGATTTATTAATAAAAATGGCGATTTATTATGAAATTAGAAATCTCAGGGGATAGAATGTAATTTTTAAAACCACAGGAGGCGATTCGTATTTTAATCAAATCTCGGGGTGTATATGTAATTTACCCTTATTTTTATTATTATTTTTAAAGTAATGACTAAAATAGCTAAAAATTTAGGACTAAATTAGATTAATTAAAAATTCAAGATTTGATTTGTTATAAGAGTTTCTAGTAATTTTTTTTACAGTAGTGATTTAGACCCCTTCAAACTTCAACCCCCACCACCCCTATATACACGTGGTGGTTGGTGATTGGAGGAGAAGAAAAAAAAGAAAAAGAAAAAGCGACTAATCAAAAAAGAAAGGGGATCAAAGGGGGTGAAGGGAAAGGGGGTCCCAATCTTTATTCTTTTTTTTTAATGGTACTTTAAAATCTAGTGGAATCAATTGACACCGCACTCATCCATGTGGCCTTGTCCATGCAGGTACTGTTCCGGCTCCGATCGGAAAACTATCAAACTTGAAAAGACTGCATTTGGAATCAAATCAATTGAGTGGAGAGATATCATCTTCCTTTGGCAACATCACTCAACTGTTGTATATTTATCTCCAAAACAACAGCTTAGGAGGAAACATACCTTCAAGTTTAGGCAACTGCCAAAGCCTACAAACTCTAGACCTTTCTCACAACAAACTCAATGGAACCATACCCAAACAGATCTTGAGTCTCTCATCTCTCTCAATAGTCCTTAATGTGTCATACAACTCTCTGAGTGGTCCATTGCAGAGGAAGTTGGGAATTTGACAAATCTTGCAGCACTTGATGTTTCGAAAAAACAAATTGTCTGGAGAGATTCCAAGCAATTTGGAAAATTGTTTTGCTTTGGAATTGCTTTCTATGCAGGGGAATTTGTTTGAAGGAAACATTCTTGCTTTGAGTGGTTTGAAAAGCATTCAATATTTAGACCTTTCTCCCAACAATCTGTCTGGCCTAAGTCCACAATACATGGCCAAGCTTTCCACAACATTTGAATCTTTCATTTAACGATCTTAAGGGTGAAGTGCCTGCTCAAGGGGTCTTCAAAGATGTGAGCGGAGTTGAGGTGTCTAGCAACATGAAGCTCTGTGGGGGGATCCGAGAACTGAATCTTCACCTGTGCCCCGTGCAATCAACTAAAAAGCCCAAGAAGCACATTGCTTTCAAGTTGATTTTGGTTTTGATAATTGTTGCCTCTTGGTTATTTTTCTGTGCAAAAAAGTTAAAGAATAAGCCACAATCAACATCATCTTCCGTTGGGCATGAACACCCAAAGATTTCTTACGAAGAGCTCCTCAATGCAACTAATAGATTCTGTTCGAGCAATTTGATTGGTTCGGGTAATTTTGGGACAGTGTACAAAGGAATTCTCGATCCAGATGAAACAATTGTTGCAGTGAAGGTACTCAATCTTCAACAACGTGGAGCTTCCAAGAGCTTTATTGCTGAATGCCAAGCTTTGAAAAACATCCGGCACAGAAACCTTGTCAAGATTGTCACTGTTGGGTATACCCCCTTATTGAAGTGTGGGACACAATTGGTTTATTAAAAGAGTTTAATTTAATTTGGTATTAGTTATAATATATTTTTATATATTATATCTAATTTGTGGAGACCTAATTCAATTTGGTAACAATTAGGGTTTGATTACAAAACCCAATACTCAACCATATATATATATAGATATGTATGGCTTTGTTTTTCTTGAAGTATAATGCACAACGGCTGCCCTAATTAATTTGTTGTTCCCCGAAGTGGAGTAAAGCAGCAGCAACATTGATACTTGGGTGCATTGATTCTTGGGTGTACATTCAAGTTGGTGCACTAGTTTTGTGTGGAATTAAGTTGGTGAATATTTCGTTATTTTGGGTCCTCTTCAACTCTGGTTTCGAAGATTTTGATTCATCTATTTAGTGAGGTCTTTTCTCTTGTTTATTTGTGATTATTTAGAATTCACCTAAGGGTGGTTTGTGAGACCATTTGTGTCTCGTTTGTAATCGTTTGGAAACTTTTTGGTTGATAGTGGAATCGGATTTCGATCCCGTGGACGTACCTCATATTGAGGGAACCACGTAAAATTCTTTTGTTGCTTTTGATTTAATTTTTCCTCATTAGCTTTTATTCCCATTGATTGATTTACTTGTAGGGAATCATATATTTTCCCTAACAACTGGTATCAGAGCTTACGGTTTATTTGGGTTTAATTATTTGTATAAATCAATCGAGGGGAATGTGGGTCGTATGTCTAGCTTCAATGGAAGCAATTGGGTTACTTGGAAAACTAAAAAGAAGCAAGAAGACACAATGACAGTTACTACCGATGATCTCATGGTCGTTTGTGAAGATGATTGTATCAATTTTGTGGGCCAATAGAGCAATTGAGTGATTGATTCTGGTGCTTCTTTTCATGTGACTTCTCGAGTTGATTTCTTCACTACCTACACCAAAGGAGATTATGGTTCTGTTCGAATGGGTAATGAAGGTTTGTCCAAGATTATTGGCATGGGTGACGTTTGCTTGGAAACAAATTTGGGCTGCAAGTTGTTGTTTAAAGATATGAGGCATGTTCCCGACATTTGCCTCAATTTTCTCTCTACTGGAAAGCTAGATGATGAAGGCTTCAACAACAAATTTGGTGATGGAATATGAAAGCTCACAAAGGGTTCTTTGGTGGTAGCTAAGTGCAAAAAGACTCATATACTTTATTTGATGCAAGGAAAAATTTGTAAAGGTATTGTCAATGCACTTGAAGATGATACTTCTACTTAATTGTGGCACAAGCGGCTTGGCCATATGAGTGAAAAGGGGATACAAGTTTTATTCAAGAAAGAACTTCTACCCGATTTGAAAGGTACACATCTCAAAACTTGTGTTCATTGTTTGGCGGGTAAACAACATAGAGTTTCTTTTCATAAAAATGTTGCTTCTAGGAAAGAAAATGTATTAGAGTTGATTCATTCGGATGTTTGTGGTCCTTTGAAAGTTAGAACACATAGTGGTGCACTTTATTTTGTTACTTTCATTGATGTTTATTCAAGGAAAGTTTGGGCTTTTTTACTAAAAACTAAAGATCAGTTCTAGAAGTACGTAAGCATTTTCAGGCCATGGTTGAAAGAGAAACAGGGCAGAAATTGAAGTGTATCCGATCAGACAATGGTGGTGAATACATTGGGTCATTTGATGTGTGAAGCCCCTGAAATATGTATTCACTTAAAAGACCCTAATGTTTGAATTATTTTCTTAAAGCCCCATCGTTTACTTCAATTAATTCGAATCTTGTCGGTTAGCATTACTATTTTTGTTTTTATCGAAACAGGAATTTCCCTAACCGGATTAGGATCCCTAACTTAATTTAATTCTACATAAGTTACATGTATTTAACTCCAAGCCCTCACCCTTTAATTAAATTCAAAACTTGCCCCAAAAACTAGTACTTGTACCTTGTATCTTGAAGTACCATCAATCTTGTAATATATATATATGTATATACACCTAGAGGAATGTGCCTAGAACATAAAATAATTAAAAATTTGGCCCTTCACCCTTCCCCATGGTCGGCCCTTCCTAGGAGTAGGTGGGAAATCAAATTCCCAAGAAACACTATCATGAACTTCTAGGAAAACACCACCTAGTGACCTAGACCTAGGATGCAAAATCCAAGAACTAGTTTCATTACAACCAGGAGTTGCCTAAACCAATGAACAATCCTCCCAAATCCCTTCCATTCCTTTAGAATTCAAACAAATCCTAACCTTTCCGTCCACATCCAACTAAGGGACTTTTAGGACTTTTTGCCTCAAAGGTTTGTCTATAAATACCAACACACCCCCTAGCTTGCAAACACACACAACACACTCACTCACACACACATTTCAGTTAGAGAGAGGGAGGAGAGCAAGAAAGAGAAGTCTAGAGGAGAAGAAGGAGGAAGAAGAGAGCTTCATGTGCAAAGTTTAGTAGGTAAGCCACAAACACAACATTCTCTTCCATTTTTCTTTTTTTTCAATACATGTTTCTGAAGGTTATAAATAATGTTTTCAGATCTATTATTACTAAGTTCTTATGTTAAAAATGCTAAGAGTTGAGTATTGATTACATCTCTCTTGTATTTTCTCCATTTTGGCATAAAACCATCTTCTTTTTGCACCAATCTCTCAACTTTTCAAGGGCACTCTTCCAAACAAATTTTCTAAGTTAAACATGTGATAGTTAGCATATTTCCTTCACAAAAGAAATGAAACTTTCCCTTGGTGGAACCCCTTTTTCATAAATCTTCTTGTTTTGGGCGAAGTACCCTAGAATCTGTTTTTGCAGCCCACTTCCAGAAATTCCAGAACAATTTACAAAATTATTTTGGACCTCTATTTCATGTCAAAACCTTCCTTAAGATGTTATCTTTCAACTAAAATTTGTTTCATCGAAAAACATCAAGCGGTTTGCAAGAAAATCAAATTTTCGTAATGGTCGACGGATCTGGACAGATTCTGGACAGCGCTGGAGTATTTTCTAAATAACTTAAAATCTGGAAAAGCAATCTCATTTCTGAAAAGTGTTCTAGAAACTAGATCAAATTATCTACGAACCATAGGGAGACCGAGTCCGGTGGAAGATTTAAAATATTCCTTTTATCTCAATCTTCATGTGATATTAAATCTGGAAACTGTGTTATGTATGGATGTTTTATGCCCTTGAATTCATGGAATTGCCTACTTACATATGAGCGTATCTTGGCATGTTATTATGTGTATCATGGTTATGTTATTTATCTTCCTCGCTTTATGGATGCATGCCTATGTGGATATTATTGTCTCGTAAGTTGGATTAACTTGATTTAAAACATTTAATTTAACGGGAAACCTAATTGGGAGGGTATTGGGTTTTCGAACACTTGAATAATGAAAAGATGAGAAATGTGATATATGAATTGTTGGGATGTGTTCCCTATTTGAAAGTTAAAGTCTTGCGCAAGTGGTTTTCGGAACCCTTGAACGGAGCGATTGTATTCGGACCCTAGGTGGTTTGGTGTAAGGAGGGATTCGGACAAGACCCTATTTTACAGTCTCTTTTGAGGCCCTGCGGTTGGTGCTAAGTGGTACATAACCGTTGGTAGGCATCCGAGGTTAGTTCTGCAACAAAGCAGCAAAAGATGGGGCATACCGAATAATCCGCGTCCGATTCTTGTGGTTGGGAGGACGAAATCTCTTTGGGGGATTTCTAGTTTGCTAACATCTAACTTAACCCTTCATCTATTTATTGAAGTATCATGCTTTATTACTTGATGTTATAATCGTGATTGTGTATTGGACTGGGAAAAAGGGGTAGGGTGTGTATGTGTTTACTGGGCATTTAAAGCTCATGACGTATCATGCCAGGTGACGAAACGAACTCATAGCTGGAGATGACGAGCCTGAAACTTTTGAAGACTTTTGGCTATCCTAGAAAAATTAGAAGTTTTTTTTTGGATGTTTTGTAAAGACTCATTTGAAGATTTAAGCTTTCTTTTGAGATGTAATGTAAAGGAACCATCTTTTGAATTAAGTATATTTGCGGCTGTTATGTATTCATATTCTATGTATGAACCCTTTCGTTACTTATGAGACCTTGTGTCAATACCTTTTAAGATCTATCAAAAGAGTAGTGCGCTGCTTAAGAAAGCTGGACTTAGAAGGGAGGCTAATTTGACTCCTCCGGCGATCTGGGATCTTACTTGGTTATTGACCATAGGACTCATTAGTGACTCTCCCTTGACTGCAACCAATAGTGTAGAATCGGGGCATCACAACTTGGTATCAGAGCCTAGGTTCAACCCTTAACCCTCGTAACCCTATACGCGACTCTAGAAGCCTTTACCCCTTATCTTATTTTATTCTATCATGCTATTATAAGAAGACTGACTAATAAAAATATTTTCCACCTTAGGATGTCATCGGGAGGCTACGTCAGTACTGACTCGTGGGGTGTTTTCCGTATGCAAGGAAGGAGGGCCATGTCTGTCAGCCCCTACTTTAGCCGCCGACGTTGTGAAATCACCGCCGAGGAAATGATCAAAACCGAGATACGCAAGGTGGAGACAGAGTACACCCGCTATACGAGGGCGCAGAAGAGGTCTTTGGTGTGGCGCCGCCTACAATTTCTGAGCCGGGCAGCAAAGAAGGCAGTCCGAATGGAGCAAGATGAACAGAGGATGGACTCCTTGATACACCGAGCTTTGACCACCATAGCACCGACTCAGGCTGAAAGCCACAAATCTTGTTATCACGGGCCAGGCGACAATCAACCGATGGATATGGAGCAGCCACCAGAGCAGCAAGGAGCGAACCTAGCCTACCCTATAGAGATATCATCTGAACACAATCCCCCCTCACCAATGTACACCCCCCGCTCTCCGGGACAAGCCACCGACTCCGCTAATGAAGACCCAGAAAAAGACTTTGATTGGTCGGGAAACAAGAACTAAATCGAGGGATAGTAAAACTAGACTTTTGTAAGACCCGCCGATGGGAATCCCTAGAATAAGATAACCTGAACTTTGTGATGCATAGATGCCTT